TTGCTTGTGAGATTGAAGTTGACCAATGTCAAGTCAGGGTATCTAATCAAGTTTTAACTATTAATATTAACAGTTATTGTACAGTGTGTTACAGGTCAGTTCAGTCTCTAAATTTTGTTGGATAAAAGTATACATTTACCTGAAAAGTTTATGTTTTATTCTCATTTACTTTTGAATTTAAAAGTAAAATAAATAGTATCAAAGGCAACCCATTTGCCGATACCTTTTGCACATACCTACGACGATGTGTTCTCTATAACACACGATTTTTAATATTTAATAATAATCAATAATAATATACCAATTAAGTAGTTATATCACAATATGCAATCTTATTACAAAATCTACGAGCTACTTCAAGAAATACAGTCTTTTGGTTCACAAGGCCGAACTGGCTTCCTCTCTTCTTTCCTCTTTATCCTTTTTCTTCGATCTCTTTTTCCTTCTTGAGTCCCTAGTCTTGGGCGATCGTTCAAATAGAAAAAGTGCTTCGTGAAAATCGTCAGAACTAAGATTTGATTCCTGTACGTGCAGGACCGAACTGAGCGCCCCGTCGGTAGACGATTTGGGAAACTTGAAAACTTCCCTTTCTCTTTCAGGTTCACTAGCACTTTTCGATTTCGTGTTTTCTTTATTAGCGGTACCAGAATGTTTAGCATTGGTTTTGGGGCTGCAATGTTGGCTGGTGGGAGGGGTGGCATTATGAGACACGTCACGGAAGGAATTAGAAGTGTCGGTATTGAAATTGTTTAGACTGTTATTTGAAGTGTTGAGGGTGTTGGATGACAGGGGTGCTGAAATGCTCGAAGACCTGGATTGTTGAATAGTCGATACCATGCTTAATCTTGGGCTTTTTGGTTCAGGTGTGCGGGAAATTGAAACACCCGAGATGAAAAGGGTCGGAGATCGTGGTATACCGGTTTCTGACTCGTATTCATTTGAACTATCCGTTTCTAAAGAGCGCTTTTCTGGTTTGGGCATTTTCAGTTTTAGATTGCTTAACGAAATCTTCTTACCACAGCCGTTGTGCGTTTCGTGTAGGAAACTGGTCGATTTAGAAAATTTGGTTTTGTAGTTGGCCGCTGTTTCGGGGTTATTTTTTGTCGAGGTGGAGGGATTGGTATCGGATTTGCTAATGGTTACGTGAGCGTGTTTTGCAGATGCAAGTTTTTCGCTTTTGGTCTTCGATTTCGATTTGGTCGTGTTGTCGGTTTCCTGTAGTAAACCAATGCTTTTATTGACTGCAAGTTTAGTAAGGCAGTAAGTTTTTGGAAGGTGGGCCGAACACAGCTTTGCTTTAAGGGATGCGAAGGGGTTATGGAATCTGATGTCGGAGATTTGTGATATGCGCTCAGTCTTTTTCGCTTGTTGGTGTTCCTTCTCGACGCATGAAGAAACGTCTTCGTCGATTGATTTGTCTAAATCTTCGTCGGTGACGTTTTCCATAATTTCGCAAACTTCCATGTCAGCGTTCATGGAATCGGAAGTGGTGTCATCTACTGAACTTTGACCTTCGTACAATCTCTCTTCCTGATGAGGTAGAAGATGCTGGTTTTGACGTAAAGAACTCGAAGGAAGTGTCAAAGTTTTCCGGACTATTTCTTCTGGTCTTTCGTCGTGCTGACTGCTGTGGTCGGAGTCTAAATGGTACCTGGATTCATCCCCTGGGACTCGCGTCCTGGTCCTCCTTCCGGATCTTCTTATACAAAGGTCGCCTGTTGAGTGGGATCTTTTCAGTCTGATATCGTTGTCATCGAAATCTTCGTCGTCGTCGGCGAAGGTGAAACCGTTTTCGTGGATGTCCGAGATTTGGAAGCGACCGTCTTCGTTTCCGCTGTTGCATGGCTTGAAGAGAAATTCTCTTTCGTTCTTCATTTTCTCAGCATCGTTCCGGAGCATGTTAAAATCAACTTCGAGATTTTTTAGGTCGATTTGGTGATTGGCGAGAGTCTTTAGAAAATAGTCCACTGTAATATCGGCGTTGGACTTGGAGAAATACCGTCTACCACTTTTTGAAGTTTCTTCCTCCGAGAGGTTGTTGAACGAACCGGAGGAGTCCTGTAAACTAAGTTGGATGGCCAGTTTCAGTTGGTCATCGTTACTTTCGCTGCTGTTGTTCGATATGCTGGAACTAGGGTCTGGGGTGACTGCCGTATTTGCTTGTTTAAGCCTATCTTCGATCATCTGGAGCCTGGACATCTCCAATGCTATTACTAGTTCCACGTTGTAGTCTGAACCGATTTCTAAGATTTTAATATTATTAGTTAATTGTTCTCATAATTTTATAGTGTGTTGATTATTACTTGAACAGTTGTATCTGTTGCATCTTAATCCGCATTGGTGATCTGGGGCTTGAAGGTCGATTTCTTGGATGCTGGTCTCTAGATTTTGCAAGTCTTCTTCTGATCCGAAGCTGGTCCAGTTGCAGTTCTTTTTCCATGGGGTTCCAGGAGAGTAATCTATCTAAAATTATTCACTTGTTAGCACGAGAGTTTCGGGATGACGACAGAGGTTGGGTAAGAAGCGAAAGTTTTTATAAAGGGCGCATGCTTCATGCATTAGTTTCTCTAAATATACTTCTTTTGTTAATAGTTCTATCACATTGACAAACACTGACTGGTGGTTAGATACATGTATGCTTTTATTTAGGTACATTGTGGTATTTGGCTTTCTTCACTTTCCGTTGCGATGGAGGTGTTTCGGGTGGGACAAGACCTTGTGCAACAGCCCTTACGAATTCGTGGCGCTTTCTGCGGGCCAAGGCCGTCGTTTGAATTATCACAGATTTCGGGGTTCGCAAATAAGGTCGGGCAATCATTTCACTCAGCTTCTCTGCTACCTCTTCCAATTCGTTCTAAAAATTTAATTAGGGTCAAGTAGTAGAACTTTTAGAAAATACCACAAATGGCGCGGTAAACGCCATCTGTAGTACGATGCTACATTTTAGGATTACGTATGCTCCAACAAGGTCCATTTAAATATATGGATATATACTTGCTCAAACGAAATCCGGTGTAGCTCACCTCAACGTGATAGGCACGTTACCATAATCGAATAAAATAATTGGAAATGGTCTGTATTCTGTCGAAACTGCCAGACGCGGATCGCGATTTCGATGTTTTTGGATCTCATCAGCACGTCGCAGACAGCTCCGACAGAACACAGACCACCTTTTACCTGCTGTCTTAACAGTGCGTTTTAGAAAATANAATCCCAAGGGTTTCCCTGGTGCAGGATTGTAGATGGCGCTTGCACCCCGGCGTCCCGACAGCATTCCATCGGATCCTTCATCCACTTTTCCAAAAGCAGTTCTCGAGACCATTCTAAAACATTCGAAACATATTTATTCTACTAGTGTTTCTATTTACTGATCTAAATGCTCACCGTTGTTCCTTAATAGAGCTTCAGCTGTGAATAGTGGTATTTTTAACATGTCTGAGGTATCAACCAGGAGTTGATCTTTAGCCTCTTGAAGGTCCTGGCTTCTCAAGCCGCTGTAAACCTCTTCTTGGCCCACCATAAGTTCATCTTCATTAATGACGTCCGAATTGTCGGCCTTTGATCAGAAAGATGAAGTAATTACCTAGCTAATTTACCTCGGTATTTAATTTGTTATTCATTAAATTAATTAGGCTTTTAATAAATTAAGATATCGATTGATTGTGAACGAAGCGAGAACGATTCGGTCGATGGTTTATCGAAAGTGCCTCTGGCGTGCTGATGAGAAGTAATAACTTTAAAACAGCGATACAGGATAATTGACCAAGAACATAATGTTCTTTAATAATAATAGTATTGTTTACTCACGAAAACCATTCTGCTTTCGAGTAGGCGTGCGACGTCGTGATGAGATGCTTTCATTGCCAAGTCGCAGGGTGTCATTTTGTCGTTATTTTCAATGAACAATGGCGCTCCGTGGGCTAGCAGTAGCTCCACACACTTTTTAAGGCCGTTAAAGGCTGCCCAGTGGAGTGTTGTGTTGCCTTCCTGGTAGAAATATGTAAAAAATACATCTGAGTCAAAAGTGGAGACAGTAAATTAGGGTTGTAACAGATATCCGCATCCGCAATTGCATAAATGTATGTAATCCGGATCTGCACATTCTCGTAGGGATATTTAACGGATATTGTTCAATATACTACAACAGGAGTCACGGTATGTTGTGAAACGGTTAACATTAGCACAATAGGCCGGGCGGCGAGCTTTGGATAAATGCTCCGCACCCACATCCGCATCCGCATCCGCAAGTTTAACCTCAATACAGTTTGCAACCCCATTCGTTTCCGCTACCTAAAGCACATCCGTTACAACCCTACAGTAAATACAGAAAGTTTGGATTTACTAGAAAATACCACAAATGGCGCGGTAAACGCTATCTGTAGTACGATGCCGAATATCAATTTTATTTAAGTCGACTGACGCGTTTTTCAAGCATATGTATATAAAACATTTCTTGCAACGCTTGGCCCTCGACTGTTTAAAGACTAAAGTGGTGGAAAAAAAATACACGTTACTAAAGAGAGTAACGAATTGAAATGCATCCCTCTGTACTTAATGCCTGTGATACCATCTTTGAAGTTGGTTTCGGTAAATAACAAACTTTCATCGTGTAATCAATTTTGTTCATTGATTAGGATCATAAGGTTATAGTAGGAAAAGACAAGACGAACAAAGTGCACCTTCAGTTGAAATATCAGTATTCCAGAAACTATGCACATAAAGTACCCCAGTTAACGAGCCGTCAATGATTGAGAGTTTAACAGCCACGTTATCTCATCGTCCTTTGTTTTCGCAAGCGTTAACTGAAGAAACACTCATACCTACTCGGGACCTTCGCAACAGCTGGCACACAGACAGGTGTCTATTGTACGTGTGACGATTATTAGTAGGAGCCTGCACTCCGTAGTTAATATTCGATTGGTAATGCTACAACAATAAGTTGAGTGTGAAAATATTAAACAAAAACGCAAAATATGTGGTCATCTATGGACGGTGCAATGAGATTGTGTTGTCGGCATTACACGAATACGCGCCATCATTGCCGGGGCAGTTGGGACTTTCGATAGGGACATTACCCTTATGTTTATGTACCTATATCACTGAGTGGCAGGAGATGGCTCATTATATTTCTTTTTCGTGTACTTTCTTCTCCCTTAATTTTGTTAAAAATTGTTCGTATCATTTAAGTGTAAGAGTCCAGTAGGGCCAACGTAAGTTATGAGCTGTAACTGTATTAACTATTTATTTACCTTTGAACATTTCATGTGGTTGCATCCTTCGTTTTTCTGAATGGGGCTCTTGCAGTTTGGACACGGCTTCGAGTTGGTGACCAACCAGAGACAATTGGCTGCATCTTCGCTCTCATTACAGGAAGCTTTCAGTTCCTCTGGTTTGATCTCAGCTATTTTCTTTTGCCACTCCTGCCATTGGTTACAGCCACAAGGCGCATGAGCCTCCCCTACAATTTTATTAATTCAAGGCTTCTTTTAAATTCGTTAATGACGATTTTATAAAATATTCAGTTATAAGATATACCTAAGCATTCCCAACAGAAAAAGTGAGAATTGCCGCAGTCGACAGCATGTGAAGTTATAGGAATTGATTTGTTTCCGGTCTTTGTTCTGTTTTGTTCCGTTTCCGGTAGTCTAACAGCTCTTCCGCAACCAGCAACCGGACACCATTTAATACTTTTGTTGCTCTCTACAAAAGCCTAAAACCAACGGTAAATTTTATCATTTCGTATCGTCCGATGGAATGGTTAGGATATGATTTACCTTTATGTCAAACTGAAGATACCTCCTCGCCATTTCTGGGCTTACCAGTTTTTCGATCGTTTCAACCGGTACCAGGATGTGACATTGGTAGGCAGGACACATTATGTGGTGAGCGTCCCCACTCTGAATTTTTATAGTTAAATAACTACCCCAACACGACCTACAGAAGTTGTGCTTGCATGACATGGCGATCGTCTTGTCTTTTTCTGATATGGGTGATACGCAGATTTCGCACTGGGAGGAAAACAAGGATGAAGTTACCGATTTCGAAAATTAATTTAGCTCTTTAGAAGCAAGTTAGTATTGTATCCGTTGTAGTTCTTTACATACCATCCTCTCAGATTTGTTGCTGTCTTCACTGAATGTCGGAGATGTGCAGTTAGAAGAATCCCAAGGGTTTCCCTGGTGCAGGATTGTAGATGGCGCTTGCACCCCGGCGTCCCGACAGCATTCCATCGGATCCTTCATCCACTTTTCCAAAAGCAGTTCTCGAGACCATTCTAAAACATTCGAAACATATTTATTCTACTAGTGTTTCTATTTACTGATCTAAATGCTCACCGTTGTTCCTTAATAGAGCTTCAGCTGTGAATAGTGGTATTTTTAACATGTCTGAGGTATCAACCAGGAGTTGATCTTTAGCCTCTTGAAGGTCCTGGCTTCTCAAGCCGCTGTAAACCTCTTCTTGGCCCACCATAAGTTCATCTTCATTAATGACGTCCGAATTGTCGGCCTTTGATCAGAAAGATGAAGTAATTACCTAGCTAATTTACCTCGGTATTTAATTTGCTATTCATTAAA